TTGTTGTTAGGTTGGGTTGGTTTTTTGGGGAAGCTATCAGTTACTTAGCATTGAGAGACTTTCTTCCTGTTTTCTAGGGATCTGTTAAGGTTGGTGACAAGACTGCTCTGCTCAAATATATCCAGCCTGACAAAAATGTGAAAGAACAGGTGAGTTTCCTCTTTGGTAGAGCTTGATATGTATTGATCTTAATCATGATGCAACTCATCTATTAGTGTGATTGACATCCTTAAATGTATTTTGGATTGTAGCATCATGATCCACCAGCTAACGCTGCTCCAGCCAGCAATGACGGTTTGTTACCAAATCCAGTCCTGAATATAAAAGAGGAAACCGATTCCAAGCTTGTGCAGGATCCTGCCTCTCAAGGTGCGTGGCAGAGAAGCTCCAACTTGACTCCTGAAGCATGGCAACAGCAAGTGGACCAACAGCTACAACAGCAGGAGGTGGAGCAACAGGCAGAGGAATGGACCAATCAGAAAGCATCTCGCCAAAACCTGCAGCACTCCGATCCAGTCTTCAAGGAGAGCAAGAGTAAGTGATGTCAACTGTGAATTACATTTTCTAAAGGAAAACAAGTGAACAAAAGTAGGTGGCAGATTGTTCTTAAGTTTCATGTTTATTTTCAGCAATGATTATCAAGAACATTTTGCCTACCACCACCGTGGAGACCATTCTGCAAGCCCTCGATCCGTTTGCATACCTGGATGAGCGCAATGTTCGTCTGGTCAAAGGGAAGTCACCTGGATCCAAATGCTTCTGCTTTGTCGATATGGATTCGCATGAGGTATTGTACAGATACCTCATTCTAACTACAATATAATGTCTCAAAATGGTCCACCGTGTTCCTTGATGCATTCTTAATGATACTACTCACTTCTATATACAGCATGTGACACGATTGGTGGAGCTGCTCACCAAACCCCGGCCTATCATGATTGATGGAGTGAGAGTTTATGCTGAGGTTGCCAAGCCTTTGAAAAACCAAAAGTAAGTCTCATCTTTGTCGGGATATATGGTAGTAATGAAAGAATATTTTATAAATATTCTAGTTTCAGTCCTTAAAGTGTAGTGTTTATTATAAATAATTTATCTGTGCACTTCATTATTTT